GAATTCCTCCTCCAGTTGTGACCCCTGTCTTGCCCAGCACTACAGCTGCTATGAGCAACAATACACCAGGTAAACAAAAATAGATTAAAATCATACTTTGAAACAAAACATTTGTGTCAGCTTTGGTATGTTGGCTATTAACATGCTGAAAAATCTCACTGGTTTCCTTTAGACAAATGAAATGAATGCTAGAAAGAAATACATTATAGCCAGTATCCAGATCAGGGAAACAGCAAAACCAAGAGGCAGCCTGTTGTATTTACTTTCCAACTGTATATTATAAATATATTTAGATCGAGTAACAGTGCAGAAAGACCTAGTTTTGCACTTGAAGGTCAAAACAGTAGATCACTGGCAGAGTTAAAAACCCAACATAGCACTTAATGTAATCTTTGTTAAATAGTGGTGCCAACTGAGAGAAATGATACATAGTTTTTGCTATCCATAGGATTGAGCTTGCTGGATCTTGTCAGACAGTGGTCCTTTACTTTGCTGGCTGATGGGCAATGGTTTCAGGGAGAAGAAAAATATCTCGGCAATATAAGCTGCAGCCAGTGACATACTTCCTTCTCCCTCATGTCCAACATATGTGGACCAGAAATGATGCTGGAGAATCATATGGGCAAAAAACTGCTCATGGAGTATGTCCCAAGTTAACAAGCACTGACATTTCCATACATACAGACCTGATAATTTTGTGCTCTAACATATCTTCCTTACTTACCTAGGTAGATGGCCGGAAACTGGCTTTTCAACTTTTTTTATTTTGTGGAGACTTTTTCATTCAAGATTGGGATGTATGGGAAGTTTAACATACAGAAATCGGGATTTTGGCACATATGGACCTGCTTTTGTCACACGGCTTTTGCTGATCCCATGCTGAAAAGCAGTGAGGTGGACAAATCCACCTTATTTTTCATTGGTGGCTGTAAACATGTAAAAGTTCCAGCTCTTGGATTAGATTTACTGCATCTTCTAGCTCAATATTTTTAATTTTCATTAGTTTGATTACTTTAAATTGTGGAAATCATAGCTTTACTCCAATGCTTTTTTGAATTCTGATGCAAATTGTCTTTTAAAACAGTAAGCTAGTCATTTACATTTCGTGTTCATCAGCATATCTCTACTGCTGAGCTACAAGTAGGAGTATTTTCAGGGTTGGAGGATTCTTCTGGATTATGCCTTGAAACTATCAGATTGCTGATTTAATCTCAATGTTCCTTTTGAAACAACATGATAAAATGGGCAATCCTCCTGAATCCAGCTACTGCAGGTTGAAATTTTTGGTAGAATCCTTAAGAGTCTTCCTAGGGATAAAGCACAAGTCCAGTAAGTTCTTGACTAGCAGATGTTTCTGAGTACAGTGTTAACAATTATAATTTGGTTTATACTGTTTCCACTGAATGGTTTGGATTACTGTGTGAAACCTGTGTATTTTGCATTTGTCAGTGGTTTTGTTAGTAATTCCCATAGGTCAATGGCAGAAAGCTGTGAGCTACACTTACTGCTACTTGAGGAATGTTGATATGAGTCTGTGTTATTTCTGTGCACTCTCTGTGTGTGTCAGAAAAATAGTTTAAATTGATGTTAATACAGTTCTTGCTCAATATTTAGTAACTGGTTCTGATGTCCTAGAAAGATTACGGTATTTTTATAATTTGATTTTTTGCAATCCAGGAATCTTTACTGTGCAAAATAAACATAAATGTTCATGCCTGGTTTATAACTTCTTTTTACATCAGGTTTTTTTTTTTCCCCTTCTCTAACACGATTTCTAAGTCTGTGTGTTAAAATATTTTGGCATATTGGATTTTCTCTTTTTTAGGAACACCTGTGACTCCAGTTACGCCAGCCAATGTGGTGCAGAGTTTACCTGATCCTTGGGTATCTCAGATTGCTAATACAGATACACTTGCTGCTGTTGCACAGATTTTACAGAGCCCTCAAGGCCAACAGGTAAATATTTTGTAAACAGTTATACTGTACACCGTTTGATACTATGTGTCTTTAAGGTACACTTAAAGAATACTGCTTCCATGAGTATCTCTTAGTTTTTTTGTCTGGTATCCATGCTAACTATCCCATGATGTTGTTCATCACAAGTAAGTTCCAGGTAAACTAAAACTTCCTGTTACCTTTTGTAACCATCCCTGTTTGTTCTTTAAAAGTATTGCAGAATGTGACTTTAGGTAAGATAGTCTGTAATACATACTTTTCTGTATAGTGTTGCAGATGACTAAATGAAAAGCAGCATTAAGATTTCATGGATGTAGGTGTGAAATAGAATGTATAAGTATATTCTCTGCTGGATGCTCCAAGAAGCTAAACATTATACAGAATTATGTAATAGGAATGTACTCATTCTGGAAGTGCATTTTGTGTTGATTCTTTTCTTTATCTTTCCATCAGCTAAATATAGTTATTGTTTTGCAGCATTCAAAAATCAGGTCTTTGAAATGGCTATGTTCCTCAGTTTCTAAATGCTCAACTCCAAAAAAAAAAAAAAAAAAAAAAAAAAAAAAAAAAAAAGTGGCTTGATGTGCAGCATGCATTGAACTGTTTGTTCTCTTAGCCTGCAGCCACATAAGCTGAGTCCACACAGTCAGCTTTCTGTAAAAATGTAGATTGTTTTTCAGTTTATGCTAGAACTCTGGCACCAGCATAACTTTGGCATTATGATTTTCATTTGGACTGAGGAAAAGGGTGCTTTACATGCTGGGGTGCTAAACATAAATCCCGTGCATGTGAATCAGAAGCAGTCACCAGTGAGCTGTTAATGAAGCACTGATGCTGACAATAACAACTTTACTTAGTGAGATTGTTTTACAGTGTTCAGCTAAGCAGAGTTGTCTGTAATTGTTCATAAATCAAATGAAGGGAGCATTTTAATCTGATTGTAGTGAAACAAATTGACAGGCCATTGAAAAGCAGAGCAAAATGAGTTTGTGGGATACTTTGTGAAATGTAGAAGAAAGGTGGTGGAATACATCTTAAACAAGGAAGGGATGTGAAGTGAGAATGGGAAATATATGGAAAGTCAGTGAGGTAATTTTAAAGATTATTACCTAGAGAGTATTCGGGGGGGAAAAAGAGAAAAATACTGTGACGATGAGAAGGGAATTAGAGTTTCAAAGACAGCAGATCACAAAGAAATAATATTTTGGATATTTAGTTCAAAATGGTAAAATGAGGAAGAGAATGGATTTTGGGAGAGGGAAAAGATGGTCTTAAGCAGAAATGTGGAGACGGACTGGGTATGTAATAAGTATGTACATACAGATCTCTAGGATTGGTAGATGAAGTGCAACATTTGCTTGCATCCTGTTGATCTCTTTTCTTCCTGTTCTTCAAGCCAGTCCACCCCCTGACCCCCCAAGCTCCAAAGTCTTTGATTTCATCTTAAGATTGTGGTTTATGGGTGAGAATGCATGCAGGTAAATTGAGAGTCTAGACCTATGAGAGAGCAGAGTAAGAAAGATGTGAACAATAAGAATGTGAAAGCAGCTAGAACGGTGACCACCCAGGATTTTTCCACTCTAGGGCTTCCATCTCTGCTTCTTCAGTTTGATTCCTTCCTGCTCAGAGCAACGCACAAGGTGGACCAGCCATATTTGCTCATCTTTTGTGGATTGGCCAAGAAGGGAGGGGGGAGCTCTTCGGCTTTGCCTGTTGCAGTAATCAGTGAAAGCTCTTGGTGAGGTAGAACAATAAAGGAAGCATTTTTAGAGGCTCTGCTGTATAAAGTACCTGTACAACTATTTTTAAAGAATAGGAAGAGTTGTTTTACATTGTTAGAAGGTAACTCTAAATCTTGAAAAAGGATTATACATTTTTGATGCATTGTGCAAAAGAAGATATAACTAATCAGCTCATGCAGAGTTTCTAGTGAGCCCTAGTAAGAAGGGAGGGATTGAACCCTATAAGAGTTCAGTGGTGAACCCCATGAAGAGGTGGAATATTAACATGAAGATTATCAGGGACTTACATCAGCATAGTGTGAACTACCTGGATTTGCTCAGCCTTTTCCCCAGAAATACTCCAGGGGTTTACCTCGTGGAAAGTCAAAGGACTGTTTCCTCTAATTCCATGGTGCTTTAGGAGGGCTTCTTTCCATAGGGATAGTATTTTTTCCTTTTGTGTTAAGGTAAATCTGTACAATTTTATGGGAGCATCTCTGTTCAACAGATGAATAGATCTGCACATGAAAAAGCCTTTTATTTCCTGATTTGGGACAGCTCCTTTTAAAAAAATTATATGCAAATAGGAAGTTGGAGTAAGGAAACGAAGACACACCAGGCAATTGGATTGTACCTTTGTTCTAAAAAAAACCTATGGAAGAGATTCTATTTTTCTTTATTTCCCTCCTCTAGATTTGAAGGAAGATACTCTTAGGGTATCCTGCTATACTCTGATGAAATGTCTTAGGTCCAAAGTTTCTACACCTTTGAAAGTTCCTTCTCAGATGATAATCGGTACTTGTTCCAGTATAATCCTAGACCTCTCCTGGGTTGCAAGTGGAGTTGTTTAAACAAACAAACAAACCACCCCAACCACCACACCACCCCCCAAAACTATTTTTAAATAATATTTGAAACACCCAACACTATTTTTAAATAATATTTTTTTAACATCTGTCTTTTGGCATTACCCATACTTTGTTTTTACTTTAACAGACTTTGTTGTTACTGTACGTCTGTTGCCCCAGAGCTGCTGCTTCTGGTTCAACGTTGCATCTAGGCAATTTTTATCCTAAGATAGTGCTATACAGAGCCCCGAGTCTGTGGCATTGCAGGAAGTCAAATTATATTCCCAGTTCCTGGTTAATTTGCTTTTTATGTTTTGTTAACACAGCAAAGGAATTGCATTCTATCAGTGTAAACCTGAGTTTCAGAATGAGATTTTCCTTGTGACCGATCCAGAGACACTAGCACAAGCTCTTCATGTAGACATGTTGCATCAACTTAAAGTGGAGCTTGCAACAGTGCAATTATTCTCTCTACATGAATGTTATTACAGCAAACAGATTTTCCTAATCTAGGTGAGCCCTTAGGAAGCTGGAGTAGGCTAACAGATTTTTTTCAGGTCAGAAGGAATCAAACTGGAGAAACAGAAGAGGGGGAACCCTAGAAAGCAGGAAATCCTGAGTGGTGACTGGTCATCATGCAACCTATCAGAGCAAGTTAGGAGGAAGAAGCATCTGCATGTCTTATCAGCCACAGAAAACAAATTAGCCAGTAAGTGGGGAAAAAAATTTGCCGTAAATGAAAACAAATTAAGATGAAATAATAGCCATAGGTTAGATGATTCTGCATTCCTGAGGGTTTTTTTTTCCTAATTGGAAGGGGAAAAGACTAGTTTGGTTTTTGCTTTTAAAAAAAAAAATTCTTGTTTAATGCAATTGTTATCTTTTCTCTTTTAGCTTCAGCAGTTGATACAGACACTGCAGATACAGCAGCAGAAACCTCAGCCTTCACTACTTCAAGCCCTAGATGCTGGTCTTGTCGTTCAGTTACAGGCCCTCACAGCACAACTTACAGCTGCAGCTGCTGCTGCTAACACACTTAATCCACTGGAACAGAGTGTCTCTTTTAATAAGGTAGAAGTAGAATAACAGAAGTTCAAAGAAATATTTATTTTTAAACTATATGTAAGTGAAAGAGTCGTCTTTTGGATTTTACAGTTTGACTTCAGAGATACATGAATATACTATGAAGTGCTCTATCTTGAAAATTAAAAAAAAAAAGTCTAGAGAGAGTAGTATAAATGAAAATATTGGTTTTATATGAGTTTAGGGCTAAACGGCGTTTCATAGGATATCTCAAGTTGGAAGGGACCCATAAGGGTCATTGAATGTAAAGATGGATTTAGTAAGGTTTAGCAAGGTACATTTTTCTTCACTGTTTGTAAAACAGCAGAGAGAATTGAGCATGTCTTGTATTTCCCCTTCCTGTGTTTATGATCTGAGGTAGGAAGTGATTTCTTACAGGGTACTGAAAGGGAAACATACAGAAATTTATGCACTCTATTTTCCCAGAAGAAAAAAACCCTTTTTTTCCTAACCTAGGTAATCTCTTTTTCAGGCAGTTAGCACTCAAAACTTGACAAGTGCTGAGTTTAAAGTTTTAGGACAATTTATCTTGTATTTCTAGGATTTGTTCAGCTAAACTCAAATCTCTGAAATAGTAGAGCGTTGTTACTAGTAATGAAAGTAATGCAGCTGTAAAAATAAGGAAAAAATGGCCTGTACTATATCAGAGCTCGAACTATCAGCTCGAGTAGGGTATAATCACAGGGAATGAATGCATCAATTAATGGGGACTGCCTTAATATTTAGATACAAAAAGTCTTTAAGGATATGGTCCACAGACTTCAATTCCAGCATTTATATGGATAGGTGTACTCATACGTATGACTGTCCTGAATGTTGGACAACTTAACTGGAGCAAATGGAAGGAATTGGCATTCTGATGAGATGTTTATATACCTTGAGTGAGTTCAGCCTAATGCTTTTTAGTTAGTTTATGCCAGTAATAGTATGCAGGAGTCTTGTTGTCATGAAAGCTGTCAGCAGACTGAATGTACATGATTGTGATTTCTGGGACTTTGAAGGTAAGTGTTGTGGAAGGAATTCTTGTGGCAGTGTGATAATTTACAAGCTTTCAGTAGGTATAAGGTGTTGATTTGCTCTTGTAAGCTGTGGAAGAGTTGTGTTTAAAGTATGTGATCTGTGCCTCAGTTCTGCATTATACAAGTAGATTAGATTATAATACATCTCAAATTCCTTGTTCAGTGTTCTATAGCATCTCTGTGAATGAACTGAAAATGTACGTCGTCTTGTTAGTCCATTGAGGCTTTTGCTCCAAAGTTAATTTAGGCTGCTTTGCAGAAATAGCATGTTGTTTTAGAATTTCCTTTTTGTTTTTCTTTTTAATATAATGTTGGTGCTATCACACCAATTATCTCCTTTTTCAAAGGTTAGAGGATTTCTGAATCTAGGTATTCTAGAAGAGTACATATTAATATATATGTAATAACGGGCAATCTTATGGGCAATGATAAGTTTTGGGGATAATAATTTTCCTTGCTTTTTTTAATGCTTTCTCAGCACCAGTATCACCTGCGACCCAAATCCCACTTCTCAGTAGCTGAAGACCATGAGTCATAATGATATAATTCCATTTATTGGACTCTTTATTTCCATTTTATTATATTATTAATTGTATAATTTTTTTACTAGACATGGCAGCCATAATAAACAGTGTTAAAAAGGCAATATTTATGTTTATAGGAAGCACAGAATCATAGAATGGTTTGGGTTGGAAGGGATCTTAAAGATCATGTATTTCCAAGCCCCCTACCATGGGCAGGGCCACCTTCCATTAGACCAGGTTGCTCAAAGCCCCGTCTAGCCTGGCCTTGAACACTTCCAGGGATGGGGCATCCACAACTTCTCTGGGCAACCTTTTCCAGTGCCTCGCAACCCTCATAGTGAAGAATTTCTTCCTTATATCTAATCTAAATCTAACCCTCTTTCAGTTTAAAGCCATCACCCCTTGTCGTGTAACTACAAGCCCTTGTAAAAAGTCCCTCTCCAGCTTTCTTGTAGGCCCACTTCAGGTACTGAAAGGCCTCAATAAGGTCTCCCCAGAGCCTTTTCTTCTCCAGGCTGAACATCCCCAACTCTCTCAGCCTGTCCTCACAGGAAAGGTGCTCCAGTCCTTTGATCATCTTTGTGGCCCTCCTCTGGACTTGCTTCAACAGGTCCATGTCCTTCTTATGTTGGGGGGCCCAGAGCTGAATGCAGTACTCTAGGTGGGGTCTCCCAAGAGGGGAATAGAGGGGAGAATCTCCTTCGTCAACCTGCTGGCCATGCTTCTTTTTATGGAGCCCAGGATACGAGTGGTTTTCTGCTGGTTCATGTCCAATTTTTCATCTGCCAATATCCCCAAGTCTTTCTCTTCAGGGTGCTCTCAGTCCATTCTCCACTCAACCTGGATTTGAGCTTGGGATTTCCCCAACCCATGTGCAGGACCTTGCAGTTGGCCTTGTTGAACTTCATGGGGTTCACACGGGTCCACCTTTCAAGCCTGTCAGGGTCCCTCTGGATGGCATCCCTTCTCTCTAGCGTGTCGTCTGCACCACACAGCTTGGTGTCGTCAGCAGACTTGCTGAGGCTACACTCAATACCACTGTCCATGTTGCTGACAAAGATGTAAATCACTGCTGGTCCCATTACCAACCCCTCGGGAACACCACTCATCACTGGTCTCCACTTGGACACTGAGCTGCTGACCACAACTCTTGGAGTACGACCATCCAGCCAGTTCCTTATGCACCAGGTGGTCCATCCATCATGCACCAGGTGGTCCATCCATCAAATCCATGTCTCTCCAATTTAGAGACGAGGATGTCATGCAGGACAGTGCCAAAGGCTTTGCACAAGTCCAGGTAGATGATGTCAGTTGCTCTTATCCACCAGTGCTGTAACCCCATCGTAGAAGGCTGCCAAATTTGTCAGGCATGATTTGGCCTTAGTGAAGCCATGTTGGCTGTCACCAATCACCTCCTTATTTTGCATCTGCCTTAGCATAGTTTCCAGGAGGATCTGCTCCATGATCTTGCCGCGCACAGAGGTGAGACAGACTGGCCTGTAGTTCCCCAGGTCTTCCTTTTTTCCCTTTTTAAAAATGGGGGTTATTTTTTCACTTTTCCAGTCAGTGGGAACTTCAGTGGACTGCCATGACTTGCTAAAATAGTAGATTAATTTAGATTAAGCTAAAGCAAAAAATACGCTGCAATTGCTAACGAGCACTCAGTTGACAGGGCCAGACTGGAGCTGCTTGAAAGTAACTAATAACAAAGTCCAAATAGCATGCCCATGTAAAATAAAAACTACAAACCGGATTTTTTTAAGAGGAAAAGTTTTGGAAATGCTTTACTTCCTGACAACAAATCTAGGTCTTTGTTAGTGATCTTTCAGGATGCTCTGAAGTTCTAGATTTTTTGTATGCGTTTTAGAGAGCTTGCAATATTTTTATACTTAACACAAAATGTGTTAGAGATACACGTATCAAAACTCAGGGTGTCAGAACAGTACAATGAACAGCAACACTGGACTGTTCACAGCCTTTTCTTGAGTACCAGACATACATTTGCTTCGTCTCTGGGGTTCTAGTCTTTATGATAAAACTGTTGTTTTGTCAACATCAAGAGTGTGTGTTTTATAGTCTTGCTACATGACCATATGCTTGTTATGGTAAAGAAAGATTTTTGATCAATATTTCCTATACATTTATGTCATATTCATTTTATTTTAATTTCTAATGAGAATATCCTGATCCTTAAGAAGAATTCTGTTTCCTTTCGAATAAAAAGCTTTTTTCATGTCTTTAATAATTCCCATTGCTTTTTCTGAGGATGTTCTCTTCTTGGGTAATTAAAGTAACAGGTGTAGCATTCGTATACAGTTCTGTACTTTTATATATGTGTGTGCGGTGGGTTAACCTAGGTATCCTAATACTTAATTTGTTTTAATTTCTATTGCTTTATTGTAGAGAGTATTCTGTTACAATTTATTTAAAAATCAAGATGTTTCAGTTCTTATTTTTCCCTTTAATATCTACTGTTATTAAAACAAACAAAAATCCTGCTGCACGTTTGCCTGTCTTGGCTGGAAGTTCTTTGGTTTTCTCTGGCCCCAGTTTAACTAAATAATTTTTTTGCATATCATAAATTGCTGACTACTTTCCATTTGTTCCTTTTCTCAGATGATTAAATAGTACATATTCTGTTACTGCCTTTCTACTTTGTCATGATGGAAGAAGATACATGATGACTAATAATACTTTAAAGATGAGGCTGGTTGTTTTTCTAAAATGCATCTTTTTTTTCGATCAGCAGCACTTTGCAAATGGTTTACTTGAAAATATTCTAAAGATATGAAAAAAAATAAGAAGGCGGCCACCTTACTTTAAATGGATTATATATATGCAGTGAAAGTTATTCTGGATTTTAGCATCCCATCTCACATAAGCTTGATGGTCTGTTTCTGCTGTGTTTTCTCGGAGATATATTCAGTCCTTCTTTCATATATATAGTAGATTATTTCATTGGGAAAATAGTTCTAAAAAATCTTGATTGTTCAGTCTCTTAGTTAGCTTATATTTCATTCTTCTTGCTGGACTGCAGTGATTGAGAGTAAATAGAGCATCCTGAGAAAGAGAAGGGGCTACTGAATCATCATGGCTTGTTACTGGAGATGTTTTTGCCTTGGTATTTCAAAATTACTGCCCTGTGTTCTCATCTTCTTGGTTTTTTCTTCTGAAACCAGGGCTCGAGAAGAAGTTACAGCGATTTGTAGTACAGCGTTAATTCTGCTTTTCAGAAAACTTCCAAGGTGTAAAGATACATGGACATGGGTTTGATGGCAGCACTGCTCTATCAGTGCATAGTTACTGAAAAAAGACAAATCTCGGTGACAAATAATGCTTGTTGTATTTCTTCATGCTTGTTCTTCAGTTTTGTCTTCAAGAAAATAAAATGCTGCTGAAAAGCCTCTGGACTGTATAAAAATTAATAAACAAAACAGACTTTTTTTTGTTCAGCAGAACTACAGTGTAGACAACTTCAGAGATAAGCCAGGAAGTTTATCCAAGTTTTTCTTTTTCTCTGTCAGATACCTTTCTTTTTATGCTTCTGGAGGCTTTTTCCTCTTACATGATAACTGCTTGCTTTGATTTTTTGCAGACTATGTGAGAAGTTGTTTTCAAGGAGCAGTATATTTGAAGGAATTCAGGTTGTCTAAATGACACGTGTGTGTGAAAATACAGTAATTCTTTGCGAAGTAATCAAGCTGTAGGTCTTCTCTTGATATGAGCAGAGCAGTTTGCTGATTCCCAAAGGATTGAATAGTTGGCCTCTTCGTAGTAATTTCTTCTAATTAAAGGTACCATTACATAAAATTAATCTTTATTTAAGCCTTCCTCCAAACTAGCTGTTATTTACTATGGAAAGAACATATGGTTATACTTGTAACAGCAGCCAGAGTTCAAGAAAGCCATGGACAAAATTTGGTATTTGATGCATTCAAGAGTTTGGTAGCAATAGCAGTATGACATTTAATTTTCTATTCAGGTTATTTGCCAAACTTTTTTTAAGTTGAGAAATAAAAGCGTTTTTCTTTTGAAAAGTAAATATACATAAAGGAACATATAAGGAGTACTCAGTAATGCTTATCTTGCTTTCTCCTAGAAGCTGATGGACAGGTTTGACTTTGGGGAAGAATCTGAACAAAATGAAGAGCCTAAAAAGGAAACTCCCACTTCCCAACTGTAAGATCAAGCTATGTTTCTTACGGAAAATACTAGAATTTGCTTGACAGTAGTTGAACATTAAGATTAAATAGTAAGGAAAGTGTTGTTGCTTTCAGAGCATAAGTATACTAAACCAGTAGGAAGAGAAAGCAGTTTACCAAATTAATGAAACATTGTAAACTTTTAAAATACTTATATTAAGTCTGTGTGCTGGAAGTTTTGTTGACTTCATCTTAAAGTTAGCTTTTACTTTGCTTTGTTAGTTATATTCATAGCATTAATGTGATAATGATGAACAGAAGGTGGAACTAGCTACATTGTCTTCCTTTACATTTTTAGTTGAACTTGAATCTCAGTTGTGAAAACCTGTTTATCAACTGTTTAAACCAAGAGAAAAACTGGTTTGTTTCGTTTTTTAATTTAAATTGTTTCATTTTAGTCCTTTAGTACCAGAATCTGTGAACAACTCACTTTTTCACCAACTAGCTGAACAGCTACAGCAACAAAACTTAGAACATCTCAGACAACAGCTTCTGGAGCAACAGCAGCCTCAAAAAGTAAGAACTCCATCTTGTGGTTGACGTAATAATCATGTTCTCCACTGATAAAAAATTCATACTACAGGACAAAAAAATTGTCTTGTTACTGACAATTCTCTTGTAATGAAAGTCTTTGTCACTAGCTGATCATCTAACAGAAACTTGCAGAGCAAGTGGAATAAGCGGGAGAAAATGCTTAAAGCAGAAAAAAAAATAAAACCAGATATGTGGGGTGTACATTTACTGTACCATTTAGCTGAGTTACAGACTGACTGTGCTTTGGTTGTTCAGCTCTTTATATGGGAGAAAAAAGCTTTTTCCCTGCTGTCAGATAGAAGAAGGTGAGCACTGAAGTGATTCTGCTCCTGTCTGTGAAGGGAGAACAGTGTGCAAGCTGCTGCTGCAGAACCATCAAGAGGTCAGAATAGAGATTGCAGATAACTTTAATTTCCCCTACCAAGCTTTAAGTCTTGGCTAATAAATGTCTCATTCTATTGAAGAATCTAAGCTAGAGTCACGTATTTCCTGAGAAATGATGAATTAAGAACTGATGCTCACCACAACCCAAGATTGCTTCTTAACTAGTGAATCGGGTCCCCTCTACTCTACATTGAAGTAAATTGGCTTATTTCTTCTGAGGTTAGTCCTCGGTATTTAGCTGTTCTTTTTCCCACCTGATCCCAATTCCTGATCCCATTAGGAAAAACCCCCAAAAGTTTATTCTGTCTTGATACTGACCAGGTAAAGTGGATTTTGTGTGAAGTATTTGGATCTAGTTTCACAGTAAAATAAAAATCTTAGTTTGAAAGAAAATCTAAGGGACCACAAACTTAACAAACATCTGTTGGGGATTTTAGCTTAACCTGTGCAAAGGTACAGTTGCTCAACTTTCAATTAAGAACATCGTTTGAGTTTTGAATTTGTGACTTTGAGGTCTTAGTTGTTTAGAAAATTAGTAATTTAAGGTATTATTTTCTTATTCTACTTTATTTTACTAGATTTTATTTTCATTTCTCATCTAAGTGCAGTAACAGAGTTTGTGCAACATAGCTACAGACTAAATAGTTTTTTATGTTGGTGGATATCTAGCAATTTCTGGCTTTAAACACTAAAAAATGTTATAAAGGAATATAATAATTGTGAAGAATGCATCTGTTTTAGGAGCTTTTGATGTGACATCTCTAAACGTAACTATCTAATTTGAAAATAAATATGCTGAATGCCTACCTTATTGTAAAATAAGCAGAATTAGATTTTAAATCAATTTAATCTAAGTTACAGTACATTTATGGGTAGAATGTTCATATGACTCACCCCTTATTATTTGATCTTCTATTCCAAGTGCTTTCCCAGAAGTTGTTTCCCTTCAGGTCCACTCAGCTTCTTGCCTAGTCAGTACAGAGAGAGGAAGTTTTTATTTTCACCTTCATAGCAGCTAAAAGATACAAACTTCTGCTGAAACTACTCTGTAATGACTGCAGCGTGTTATGAGGAAGGTTTTCATTAATTCCATGTTTATGCAGGAGCAGAGGGACAGTAGGAGACGATAGAAGATGGAGACAGAAGCAGCAACAAGAAATGTAGGAATTGGTATGAAGAAACAGATTGTTGAAGAATAATTAAATAAAAGGAAAATGACACGAAACAATGTTAGAAGGAAAATGCATTAACTGAATTATAGGGGAATTCTTTATTTTTATGCAAACTGGCATTATAAGCTGTTTAGAAACATGAAGATAAAACAAAAAAACCTCTTGGTGCTACGTGTCATTCTGCTAAGTTTCTACCACTGGCAGATAGAGTATCTAGCATTTGTTTAATTAAAGTGAAAACATAATGAGAATCACTGGGATGTTTACCTGCAATATTGGATTATAGGTTTAAAATTAATTTTCAAAATTGTCCTGATGGCGTTTCTGAGTATTTACATTGCATTTCCTGTACTTCTTTAATTTCTTTCATATCTTACAGATATTTATTCCAAATCTGTACTTTCAATCCAATGTACAGGCCATTATAGTTTTTTCTCTAGCAAATCAACAATGCATTTGGTATTTTACATTTTTTAAATTCTGGTGTTTTTTCAGAAATGCTTGTTTTGTTAGGTCTCATAATTGACATGCTGACATAAATGACACAACACCCTCCTTTACATTATAGTAATTACTTGTCTTGAATCACATACTATAATAAAGTTTAGAGTTAAATGTAGTAGCTCAATTGGTATTACAAGTATTTTCATTATATTAATAACAATTTATTAATGCATGTGCATGGGTGACCAATGGGTGTCTTTCAGTGGCGCTACATATGGCTGCCATCACTATTGTTTGACCTGTGAGTTCTTGTTTTCAAGACAATCAAATTAAACAACATGTATTATACTTTTTGATTCAGCAAATAGTAATTTTTTTATAGTCAGGAATATGAATTATTTCAAAGTTTTGTATTTAAGGAATGATATTACTTCAGCTTTCACATTAATGGGACATGGGAAAATAAAAGAAATTTGAGAAGTAGTTTTCATATATTTAAACAACTGTTTCACATAGTATTACATTTTGACACAGTAAGCATTTTGAATTATGAGGCTTTTTATGGTATATTATTATTTGTTATTTAGGCAAGCCCTGAGGAGAATCAAGAAGGAAATTTTGGTTCTGAGCACTCTGCCTCACCATCACAAGGGAGTAGTCAGCAGCAGTTTTTAGAAGTGGAAACAAATGTAGATGATTCAATGGATATTCAACAACAGGTAAAACTATTTTCAATTTGGTCACAGAACTTGAAAGGAAAAGATAATAAGGTGGTTTCAGAATGGGTAATATAGATGTATGGTTTCATATAGTCATATATATTGTAAGTATGTTTATTAAAAGTTATTGAACGTCTGTTATGTCTGACCTCAGGACATGGATATAGATGAAGGCCAGGATGTTGCTGAAGAAGAGATTTTTGAACAAGAAGAAAAGAAACCAGCTGTTCGTTCAAGATCAAGAACTCGTTCAAGATCTCGTTCAAGGTTTCATAATTAACTTGTATTAAGTAAACGAAAGTTTTCTGAAACAAAGTTGCAATTTGTGATTATCATTCTCAATTCTGTATTTTCCAAAATTGTCATGAGCAGTTTTTGGCCATAAAAAAACTTTCTGTGTAACAGTTCATTTTGCATATCTGTGGTTTACTTTAAATTTTTTAAGACCTGTTCAGATAACAAAAATTAACTTAAGGCTAGTAGCTGGTCAGGTTTTCTGTGCCAGAAAAGTAGATACTGTTATGGAACTCTTTGTCATTTGTTTTGTTATAAGCTCAAGGTGTATGTTCTGTTCCTCACGCTAATGTCATTAAGTTTATTTCCTGAAGCAGTTAAAGTTTGTACTTAAAAGGTGACTAAGTTAGAATATATTTTTTTTAACTCAGCATACTGAAATGAAGCGTTTTGTAGGTCACCAAGAAAACGAAGGTCTAGATCACGGTCTGGTTCTCGTAAGCGTAAACACAGAAAACGTTCACGCTCAAGATCAAGGGAAAGGAAGAGAAAGTCATCTCGGTCATATTCCAGTGAAAGAAGGGCTAGGGAAAGGGAAAAAGAACGTCAGAAAAAGGGATTGCCTCCTATACGGTCAAAAACACTAAGTGGTAAGTGCCAGCTGCTTACTGTTTTAATAATGTAGTATTAAAGGGAATAAAGGCTTTGTTTTTCATTGAAAGAACAAGATTGATTTTGAGTGCTGTTACAAAGTGCGGTAACCATAATCTTTTTAAAAGTTTCATTTCTGATATTTCTTACAACTTAGACACATCATTTCATCGTAGAGAAAATCAAATATCATACTGCTCAACTGATGATTTTACTTGTACTGTTGCACCTATGTTTTTACTTCTGAACAGAGATTAGCAAGGGCTGTCCCTAAGCTACAATCTGTTTTCTCTTTAATGCTTTCTTCTATGGGGCATTTGAAGATGATGAACACTTGATCTGAGAATTGGTACACTGATAAGACATTTAAGTATGTGGTACACACTTTGGACACTTTATTAAACTTTCATAGTGCTTTTTAAATAGCTTTTCACAGGAACATAGAGCCAAAGCAGGTGTAATTTGCTATCCTAAGACAGACCATAATGGTCATATCTTAAGAAAGTATCCAAAAACTAACTGGATTTCTGCTTCTGCAAAGTGCTGATATGCACTGCTGTCATTTCTACACAGAATTTACATACTAAAAAGAAGGAAGGGAGGAGAACTTTCTCCACACAGTTGCTTCAATCAAAGGGAACGTATTTTGATTTGAGTGCTAGAAACAGTGAAATTGGGTGTAGTCATCTGCTACTGTATCAGTATATCCTATTGCTGCTGTTACCAGGACTCTGGATTTTTGGGATGCATAACTGTCTTTAATTTATTTTCGTAATGAACTTGTGTTACCTAATTTAACTTTGTTTGGATAGTTTATACGCAGTTTCTGATGTAGTTTTCCATTTATTTTGTGTTAAATATTTGTCATCTACCTGACAATTTAAGCAGTTCAGAATTCATTAAAAAAGGCCTTAAACTCAGGACTTTACTACAGTTTAGATGTGTATTTTTTGTCTCGTCTGGCAAATCAGTTTTATGGTGTAGATTTCTTCCAGTAGTTCACAAAGCAGGGAGCTATAATCAGAATAGATGGGAAGTGCGAGGCAGGGATGTTAAGTAACCTGATGAACAGCAGCAGCAATTGAGGTCCTGTGAAATGACCCAGCTCATGGAAAGGAGACATTAAGAAGGCTAAATGAAGTGTGGAGACTTTGGGGCGTGGCGGTGGTAGTAAATAAATAAATAAATAGGTAATTTACCTGACAAGCATTTTACTTCATGAAATTTGTTCAGGGACAGCCACTGTTGTCACTTGCTGAGGTCCGAAGAATTGTTTTGTAGAGCTTTACACTGTGAGAAACAAAAGGGTCATCTACAAGCATGTGAAGAACAAGTTTTGTCCAAGAGAAATCTTAAGGCTAGTCATTCTCAGTACTACTGAGTACTGCTGTCAGTTGAAAGTTTCAGCTGACAGAGGAACACACAGAACTGGTTTCCAGTTTGATGCACCAAGATTGATACAGGAAGGATGTGTGATGTATCAAGGTGATGATGAAGAAAACATTTCCTTGGTTCAGAATGGGGCAGGCCCAAGAGATCCAGGTTATCTGGTTTTATTCTGCCTTAGGTGCTTTAAGGTCTTGGGTGGGTTGCTCAGGGTAGTAAGATATTTGAGGAACACTACCAATATTGGCCTAATCTCTTGATTTAGATCACCCTGTGCTAAATGGAAATAACTGCTATGAGTTTGTCAAGGCTTCACACATAAATTGGGTAATGTTTGGAAGACAAAAAAATTGGAACCATGTACATAGGGGAGAAGGAAGTTCAAGCTCACACGTTAGTGAGTGTTTATATTTGTCGAGGGAGACGGCTAGGCATTTTGGAGACAAATTGCAGGGGTCTGGGCTTGTGGTGGAATTGGCAAGAGTCAGAAGTATCATGGACATCCTCAGGTCATCCTCAGGTGGGCTTCAGCCAACTTTGTCTTTCTGGGATGTTCCCCAAGGTAAAATAGAAGTATAGTTTCCATTTCTTTCAGGTGAAAATACAATGTATAATAGTGCAGTTAAGTTCCTTCTGTAATACGCTTCTAGCCAGTTAGAACTTAATCTTACTTTGTTAAAACTGGCTTTAAATCCTACAGGCATGTTTTTTATGGACATAGAATAGAAATTACTATTAGTAATTTCTACTGCAGTTTACCTTAGATGCTGATCTACAGATTTTTTTTTTCATTTCTTTTAAAACAACTATTTTATTTAAAAGAAAATTAAACAAAAAGAATGAACAGTTGTACTGAGTATCTGTTTGGTGTCTTAACCTTTTAACATTTTTGTTACTGTATTAATCTCTGTATAGTAAGTAATTTACTATTCTTGCTTTTTGATCAGTGATTTCTGTGCAATTGTAAAGCCATGCTATGGAGCATTTTATAAGCTATATCCATGCTATAGAGTATTTTATAAGCTAACGTTCTAGTATTTTGTCTGACATGAATGTGTCTCTTGACAGTTTGCAGTACTACTCTTTGGGTAGGTCAAGTAGACAAGAAGGCTACACAGCAAGATTTAACTAACTTGTTTGAAGAATTTGGACAAATAGAGTCTATTAATGTAAGTAAGCATGTTATCATGCATTTTCAGGGATTACAGACTAGCAACTTAAACATGCTTATGCCTCTGAATTCCTCTTAGCAGCTTAAGCTTGTATTTAGGAAACTTTTTTTTATCACTGTTTAGAAACTGTGGCTATGACGCTTGTTGGTTTCCGTGTACTGTCTTTTGAAGCACTAAAGACAGTGTACTTTATGGTAAAACGGCTTTTTCCAAGCACTAACGATTTACACAGTTTTTTAAATCAGGGTCTTAACAAATAAAAAGTTATGTCTTTTTTTCTTTTTGTGATGCGGCACAGGGCATGCATCATTTTTCCTTGGACTAAGGGACACAAACTGATGTGTATCCACATTGCTCTTGACTACATTCCATACAGAGGGTTCCTAAAGTGGAATCAATGTGGATAAAACATATAGAAGAAAAGAAATTGTGCTGTGAAGAAGTGTTCTAAAATGTGACAATTAAAAAGATGTTTATGATTTCTCATGATTTCTCATAGTTTCTCATGATTTACAGTCATTTAGATGTAGACGTTTAGAATCGTACTTCAGTGTGGCCTATAATTCAGCTTCAAGAGAAAGTATTTTTCTCCTAAAATAACATATCTACATGAGAGAAATTTGGATTTTTCTCTCTTGCTCCAGTAGTTTTAAAGTGCTTCTCATGCTATTTAATTCATTTCAGATAATATTTTTACTATTTTTACTATCACATTAATATATTTAGATATTTAATTAATAAGGAACATTTTTTGTGGCGTTACAGAATCTTTTAAAAAGCTTCACAAGTCAAAAAGACCTGACATTTATGCATCATTTTGATTTGCAGGGACTAGCAATTAGGAAAGTTCAAAGGAAAGTGATGTAATAACCATAATGTCCCAGTGCCAGTTACATTTCAGAGGCAAACCTTATTGTAAATAGTTCATCCTACATGTTCCACAAAGCTTGAAGTACCTAGGATAACATTGTTGTACATCTTAAACATATTTTTGTAACAACTGCATTAAAATCTGTCATCTTAAATATTTTTGTTCCTTATGTTACTGTGTGCTCATAAACAACATAAAAGCACACCTGTATTTTACAACTTTTGACTAAAACTAAAACAAGCAGTCGTCACATGTGATTTGCAAACTTTCAAAGATTACATGCCATGTCATAGTTTTCTTTCCTAAATAAAATACTAAAGCTAGTGGAAATCACACTTCAGGAATGAGGACTCTACCCTTCAAAAATGCAAGATCCTTTTAATCACTAGTTTGCACCTCTGTGAAAGGTTGTTGCTCAGCCCATGGTAAATTTGAAGCTTAATAAGAGATAGCAACCTCTGCTTTTCTGAAGTTGTCATAGTATAGCTCCCAGTTCTTGCCTGCTCCATGTTGTTCAAATTTTTCATGTCATTTTTAGTACCCATTCTTCATCGTGCTGCTGCTTCTTGAAAAATGTTATAACTGAAGTTATAACCCTGCCAGTATCACTCTTAAGTGTTGCTGATGCTCAAAATTGTTAATATTGCTGATTAAGGTAACGATTGTTTACAGTGTAAGCCTTTCCTTTTTTAGTATTAGTATTCACTTAGTGTAGTTATGTAATCTGAAGTACTGGTTTTCCGGCTTTTTAAGACTGACACTTTTTTCCCATAGATGATTCCCCCAAGAGGTTGTGCTTATGTCTGTATGGTTCACAGACAAGATGCGTATCGTGCTCTTCAGAAACTTAGTTCTGGGTCCTATAAAATTGGGTCTAAAATTATTAAGGTAAGTTGATTTTAATCTAAGGATGCTGTTCATTTCAAATACAGTACAGTTTTAATACGATGATTTGTCACTTAGCAGCTGTTCATTCAAACGTATAATGTGGAGAAGAAGAATGAAGCAATAAGGTGTAAATTTTTTCTTTCCTCTCTGTGTAAAATGCAGCTTTTAACAGGCAATATGGAAGACAGTAAAATGAAATTATGCCTTGATACTTAGAAAATACTCGGAGAACATTTTATGTATGTGCTAGTGATAAGAGTACAAGACTAAACAACCTAAGTCCTGTTCCTGACCACGTGGATCACTTAATATTAATTTCTAAAGTATTCTTATAGAGTTAAGTATATGATTAGTTGCTGTGGGTTTCTTCTACTTTCTTTGATGCTTTAGGATGAGTCCTTGAAATACTGTATTTTTAATTTCCCCATATATATGTTAGAATTAATGTTGAACAAATTTAGGCCTTTTGACATAATTGAACTTCCACATATCTGTTGTTACAGAGACCAAGTAAACTTCCTATAGATTGATTTAAAATTAAAAACTTGTTAAAACTTTAATAAATAGATACTGAAGATTGATCTACAGTGACAGAAATTGAAAGGTAGTGATCTGAAACATCCTGTTCACAGGTTATAAGATTTAACCAGATTCTCTGGTTGGCTTCTATTTTCAGATTGCCTGGGCTTTGAATAAAGGCGTGAAAACAGAATACAAGCAGTTCTGGGATGTGGATCTGGGAGTTTCATATATTCCTTGGGAGAAAGTAAAATTGGATGATTTGGAGGGCTTTGCTGAAGGTGGCATGATTGACCAGGAGACAGTAAATACAGGTACGGATATTAACAGTGATTCTCCCAGTAAGAAAATGTGTTTATTTTGGTAATTGCAAATCCTCAGAAAGTTTATTGGTTTAGGTAATACATACTCTTTTTCAATTTACATAAATTTCACTAGCTAATTGTTTACAGTATAAGTGGCACTGTAATCACGAAATCTAGATTGTCTTTGTAGACGAGTAACTAACTTATTGTCATGACAATGAGGAATGGGTGGCAAAGGGGAATTTTAAGCAAGTTAATAGAGGTTAGCATTTTTTAAAAACAGTTATGAATTTTCTGTGTGCTCATTTCCAAGTACATAAAATATTAATTTGTGTAGAAATTATGATCTGCTTGTGATTGTGAAGAGTCTTACATTCAGGTGTAAGACTTAAGTTGGAGTTGGAACTTGTCCAAATAGGCACAGGTGGGCTGAACCTTAAGGTATTTCCTCCATAAAGTCAGAGACAGGAAAGCGAGTAACGTTAGACCTTACTCTGAAACGCAGTTAATTGAGAGGTTGGTTAGATTTGTAAAAGATTCATGAGTACTGTATTTTCTTGCAATGAATCTAGCACCAAATGACTGGACTATACTGAAGTAAGCAGTACGTTAAGACTGTTTCATAATAGCTACAATAATTTTTCAGGTGAAAATGCAGTCTTGCTTTCAGTAAAAATTGAATATAAATGGCAGAAAAATTAAAACAAGAAACATTACTGCAATACATTCACTGTGTTATACTTGAAATGTGAAACTTTTGGAGGAAGTAGCAGAAGGAAGAAATGGGGGTTGGGCTGAGGTTTGTTTAACATGAGGATTCTCTGTCATTGTACAGTAGCCAGCTAATAACACAGATATGTTGACAATAGCAGTTTTAGAAACTAGAGCATACTCTGTATTTCAAACTATAAACAGAATGATTGGTGAAAAAACTTGGCAAGTTTTGAAAAATCAGTTTGCATACAGGCATAATTAAACAGTATTGCAGGTGATAAAAGATATTTTACACTCTTTAAAATATATAATAATAAATAATTGCACTTGCTTCTTTTCACAGTGAGTTTGGGGGTTATTTATGATGACTCTATATAGGTACCAGTTTAAAATGTATTCTTCAAGAAGTAAGAGGATTTTTTAGTATATAAACAGAAATAACACATTAATTTTATTTTTGTATTAAAAATACAACTTTTTTTAAAGAATGGGAAACAGCCAGAAGCTCAGAAGCTGCTAAAGAAAATACTCAAACTACACAGAGCGCTGCAGTTGATAAGAGTACAGTTATTACAACGCAGACAGAAGCTTACACACAACCAGTCACTATGCTGCAGGTTTGTATTGCTCTGAGTTTGAAAAAAACACACAGAAATGGAGGGCAAACTTTTTCTTCAATAAGATAATGCTGACTTAAACTACTTAAATAAAAAATAGCCAAGTCCTGCATACATATGTGTTTATTTCTGAAATACTTTAGAGTAGCAGCAGTTGCCTTGGTTAGGCAAAATCTTTATTTGTGTGCACAACGTATCCCAAACTTGTGTACAATCTCCAGTGAAGGCTTAAATGTTGAAAACAGAGCAATTGTAAAAAAAAAAAAAAAAAATAAAAAAAAATACTGGCACGTTAGTTTTTTAAGGAGAAATTAAAAGCAAAGCATCTTTCTGTAAGCTAAGCAATGCAGTAATCTTCTTTTCACTTGTGTTTGTTTCTTCTCTACCTATGTGCTTTTCCCCATACCAGCCTTGAACATAAGTTTAATTATCTTCTCAGTAATTTTGGGCAGGATATCATAGGGACAATCTCATCTTTAAAAGATCTAATTATTCAAGTAGTGTGCTGTTGCACACATATACATGAGACTATATTCATGAGAGTCTTTGATTCTATGGTGTATTTTTTTTCCTTCTGCTAAAACAGAATTTTTATTAACATCCAGTCAGTAAAAACCTATTGTGGAAGGACAGAAGAATACAGTGTAATTTTTCTTGAGTATACTACACTGCACAGGTATAACAAATGCTTGTTGTCAAACTCTTCAAAACTTCTTTATAATGACCATTTGAAATTGTAAAATGAGAAGCAGTTGCTTAATACAAATTTTTTTGTTCATATTATTAGTTTTTTTCTTTTCTAACATGTATAGACGTTTCCAATACTTGAGCTGACATAAAATTACTATGAAAGTTATTTCCTTTACTTGCACTGAATTTTGAACTTTTTTCTTTTCACAAAAATTGTCTTCAGTCATCTTATTTCAGCTGTCTCCTGTGATCAGTATATATTTAAATATACATATATATTGCTTTTATTCTGCTGCTAATTACTTGTAATTATGTTGCATTGTATCAAAACGTGTAGCTCGAACAGAAGTTTGAGAAGATTTCATAGGTATTATTAGCCTTATAATTACATACACTGAATTTGACTTTCCAGTACTGTTCTAAAAGTTGTAAATTTTTCTAATGAGAATAGAATCGCTGTTTTCTAAGTGCTCTCAAATTGCCACACTGTCTACATTTTCCTTATTTTTCTCTCTTTCTCTTTCTGCATTCACCTCTCTCTGATAGGTAAATTTTTATTCTTGAATAAATATAGTGTTTTAACTGCGTATTTTTCTGTTCTTTTTAGGATAAAGAAAAGATAGAATAGGATTCTTCCAGTGTCCTTGTTTACTTGTAGTGTAGGTGCCATCTCAGAATGCAATCTGATTCTTCAGGGTGTTCAGAATATATACAAAGCCTTTGATACATTTAGTGCTTAACGTGAATTGCTGTCGAATCAGTTTATCCCTCTTTTAATGGCATTAAGTACTGTTTAAGTATTGAAGTTGCTTGTTTTTTCTTTCCATGAAAAAAAGATTCCAGTAGCTCCAGCTGTGCCTGCTGTTAGCTTGGTTCCACCTGCGTTTCCTGTCACAATGTCTGTCCCTCCTCCTGGTTATAGCGCAATTCCTCCTCCACCCTTCTTGCGAGCAAGTTTCAACCCTTCACAGCCACCTCCAGGTAAGTTAGTAAAAATTAAGTTGAGTGTGTAACGAGTATACTCTGTTTGTGTGCTTCTATGTACATCACGCTTTGTATAGTTTTCCATCAGCTACCAGTTACTGTTTGAGCCAGTTGGCCTTTGAATCTTTCATCTAGTATGGGATTTCTTACGTCTGACTTAGTATTGTTTTTACCGGTGTATTCTGTCAAGAATAGGAATTGCAGCAGAATTTTTTTGAACTTTGGTAAAAATGAAAATTTTAAAATCCTTAAGATTAGTCTCCTTTCTTTGGAAAATTTTGAAACTCTTAATTTTCTTCTTTGGATGTTGCTGGCAGAAATCACTTTTAAAGATGGACATGCAGATCATCTACAGTAAAGATGGGATTGTTTTTGAAAACAGTCACCATTGCCTCTTCGCATACATTTGCTACTTGCTAGTCTTCAGTGATGCAGCTTTTCAGGATGAATAATGTATGCAAGCTTTCACTGCAAAACTTTTATTTGCCTCCCTTGTAATAATTTGTCATTTTTTTCGATATAGGTTATATGCCTCCCCCAGTTCCACCTGTGGTCCCGCCACCTGTGGTCCCACCACCTGTTGTCCCACCAGTTGTCCCAACACGTAAGTTTGGTTCTTCTTATAGTTGTTTGTGTGTTATGAAAAGCTTAATTGTTTGATACGCTACTTGTTACTTAGTCAAAAGCGAGTTAATCCTGTGTAAAGGAAAATAGCAACACAGAAGTCACTGTTTAGCTGGTTTAAGCAGGTATTGAGAAAAGATCTACAAAGCTTTTCAAGTTGACTGAAAAATTATACTTACCGTGGAGTTACTGTAAAAAAAAAAAAAATTATGGCAAATGAATTACTATTTGTATGTGTAGTTCAGTACTTGAACCTGTCTGTAACAGATTTATCTGTTACTTGAGCTATTTGGTATTAGTCACTGAATAATTTGTAATAATTTATTTTTGTTTAGCCTTTTAACTGTATTCATTTAATGTTTAAAAATATCTGTTAAAGGGCACTGATTGCTTAGGTTGCTTGCAATTCATGATCTCTAAAAAAAAAATTAAATATTACAGTGCTGATTGAGGATAAGAAATTATTATTAAAAATGTAACACTTAGGGTAATTAATTTCACTTATTTTTATTTATTAGCCTGACCTTTGCCAAACTGATCTTGAAGGCTTGAATATATGATTACTGTAATACACTTCTGTTATTTCTTTACAGCTTTAGTACAGCCTCCATTACCAATTGCACAAGAGACAATGAAGGATGTTCCTTTTACTAGCCTTGTTCTACCAGTTGGCACAGTCACAAGCAATCTAGCTACTCCAACATTATCTGCTGGAAGCGTTTTTAATCCTCTGCCAATCAACAAACCAGAATCAGATGAAAAGACATCACATCTTACAGACCTTCAGATTTCTTCCAGTGAAAACAATAGATCTGGTAAGCAATGTCTTTGTCTGATATGATTGCATACAGGAAACATCATACTTCCGAGGGTTTTTTTTGCACATTGTAGTCCATTGCCCCAATAACTACAGAGTAGGAAGTTTTAGGCTGAATATCATTTTCAATTTAAGTTGGAGGAGTGGTGGGAACCATCTTTGTCATCATCTGATCATTGATTTCTAGCAGCTTATGCTCAGGGATGTTTTCTTTGTAGACTTGAGAAGTAAAGCTGAGAGTGGAAGCCCTTTAGAAAACCTCTTAAAAGTGCATTCTTACTACACAAGTGGCAATGGAAAGGAGTAAGAGAAGGGGAGAGAGTAGGATAGTATAATATTTATAAAATTACATGAAAGATTTTAGTACTTCCCTTGCACAAATTGGGTGCTGTCTGTGGGGTTTGTCAGTTTTAAGCTGCTGAACATTCTTTACTGTGTAGAGACATTCATTTCTGTGGCATAATGTCCATTTATCACGAATGTGAATGGACTGATGAATGTTTATTACAGAAACTGAGACAGACCCTGTCAGTGGTGTCATCACTGAATGCGTTAACTGAATGTGGTTTAAGCTGCATTTTGTTTTGAATGCTATGTGTTACACTGGTATTTTCTGTTAACTGTTCTTCTTGTTGCTGCATTTTAGTGCAAAGTGATGTCTCGAGTAGCTCTGGACTTGTTGGAGGAGTGCAGCCACCCAGCGTCTCAAGCAGTTCTGGGCTTACTGGAGAAGGGCAACCACCCAGTGTCTCAAGTAGCTCTGGACTTGCAGGGGGAGTACAGCCACCCAGTGTTTCAAGCAGCTCTGGACTTGTAGGAGGAGTGCAACCACCAACTGTTTCAAGTAGTTCTGGTCTGGCAGGAGGAGTGCAGCTACCTAGTGTCTCCAGTAGCTCTTCTCTTGCTGGCGGAGTTCAGCCAACCAGTGTCTCAAGTAGCTCTGGACTTATGGCTGGAGTGCAACCACCCAGTGTCTCAAGTAGCTCAGGGCTTCTAGCTGGAGTGCATCCACCCAGTGTCTCAAGCAGCCCTGGCCTTCTGACAGGAATGCAGCCACCCAGTGTCTCAAGCAGCTCAGGAGTTCTGGCAGGAGTACAGCCACCAAGTGTCTCAAGCAACTCTGGGCTTCTCATAATGCCGCCACCCAATGTTTCAAGTAGTTCTGGACTTATGGGAGTGCCGCCACCAAATATTTCAAGCAGTTCTGGACTTCTGGCAATGCAGCATCCAGCTGGGGTTCAAAATATGCCTCATTTAAATATTATTGCTCAAAAAAAAAGGAATGCCTCTCATTGATATCCGTCCAGGCCTAATGCCCCATTCGCCTGGACCAAGGTTTCCATTAATGCAGCCAGGAATACCACCGCAGCGCAGTATTCCTCCTCCAGCAATCCTTGATCCATCCCTTCACCCACCACCTCGAGGTCCTTTTCCTCCAGGAGATATTTTTAATCAAACAGAAAGACCTTTTGGAACACCAGGAAGACAAAATATCGATAGCATTTCTAATCAAAAGAAAGAGATAATCTTAACAGACCATCTCCAGTGGATGTTAGAGATTCTGTTGGACGACCACCAGTTGATCCAAGAGAGGGTATAGGAAGGCCTCCAGTAGATGGAAGAGAACATTTTGGAAGACCACATGTAGACATGAGAGAAAATTTTGGAAGACCAGGTATAGATAACCTTGGTCGAAGAGAGCATTTTGGTTTCAATTCAGACAAGCACTGGGGACAGAGAGGAGATTATGATGAAAGAGAGCACCATGCCTTCCCTATTTATGGTGGCCCTAAAGGCTTCCATGAAGACAGAGAGAGGTTTCGGCATGTAAACTATAGGTTTGATAGCAGAAGTGGTCCCAATTGGAATAGAGGATTTGAACAAGATGCTCACAGAGATTTTGATGACCGCAGAAGACCCTGGGAAAGACAGAGGGATAGGGATGACAGAGATTTTAATTTTTGCAGAGAAATTAATGGGAACAGGTTTGGAAGAGACAGAATGTCAAACAACTGGATCCCCCCTCCACATCCACGGGTTTTTGAATATTTTGATGGGGCCACTTCCCAACGCAAAGCCGATAATATGCCCCAGGTAAACGGTGAAAATACAGAGACAGAAAGTCAGCCACCAACTGCACAGGTGCAGGACGATCCAGAACTTTATGAAAAACTGACATCTTCCGTCGAGATAAACAAAGAGAAGAGTGACACAGAAGCTGATATAGAAAGTGAACCAGTGGTAGAAAGCACAGAAACTGAGGGGACATAATCATCACTCAGTAGGTAAAAGATACCTTTTGTAAAGTTGTCATCTCTCTGTAATAGATAAATGGCTGACTGGACCGTAGCAGTTCACTTTTGTCTGCCAGAATTAAGTTAATCTGATGTTCATGTTCATCTTTCACTTAAATAACTGTACAACTGACTTGTATAGAACACTGTTCTTAATTTGAACATGGTAGGTAAACTTTTTTTTTATTTCTCTGGTAAAGCATAAACTTGCCCCCACTTGCTTTTAATTTCACAAAGATAAAATAACAGCTTGTCAAACAAAGACTTCCTATGGAAGAAAATGGAATTTTTTTAGATACTACCCTTAGGTTGGCTATCGAAATTGTTATACTTGAAAACAGGTGCTGGTGTATCTTGTCCGTGTTTTTAGGCTGCTGCAGAATTTTAAAGTATAGACAAAGCTGTGATATTTTATGTTCCTACAATTCGGCAGAAAAAGAAATGGCCCATGTTATTTAAGGAGCATAACACAGAGATTAAAAGTGATTTTGTAAAATCTACACTATAGTCTCTGTTTTCTCTAAAGTAAGTGTTTGTGATTTGTTCCTCGTACTGCAGTGGGTTTAAAAAAATGAAAAAGTACATTTTAATGTTGGGTGCATTTTGTTTTTAGATGCCAATAAAGCATATTTGTTTGATAACAGTGTTCTAGGTATTGTATTTTTTTAAAAACCTGCAAGCTCTAAAAACTTGGAATCAGCTATGATATGTGCTTAGCTAGTTGTTGCAAAAGGTTTATATTACTTTTGTAAGACCAATGCAACAGTTATGTGCAAGAAGCATATGGTTTTTACATCAAAAATCATGCAGTCATATTAGTTTGTGTAAATAACATGTATGTAAATATTTGTGTAAACTGTTTGTAGATACCACTTTTTCTGTGCGTGCCTGTGTATGTGCACGCACTCACAGAATATTCTAGACAGTTCAATAAAATTGAAATGAAACTAGGTTGTAAAAATTTGCCTTTCACCTTCTTTAGGTAGTAAGATAACAAAACTTATTTCACTGCAATACTGTCAAGCTTATATTTACCTTCTCATGCTCATTGTTATGATGTTCTTACTACTTCTGGAAGGTGGAACATGATATACTGTAAGACTATACAGTAGGATTTTAGCTTACTTTTTAAAATGCAGATATGCATGAAGCCAAAACTTAAGCAAATATTTGCATTGTCTTTATTTTGTAATATATTTGGTATTCTGGGTAGATAGTGGTAGCGTTCAAGTACTTTGTGGTTATTTGTTTTTAGTGACTCAAAGTCCAGAAATGTTGCATGAAAAGTAAAAAGCTGTTATTGGTCTAAAAAACCCTACATGTTTTTAACGGATATAGGGGGGGCTTTGTGTTTTGATGGCTTAATATTGAAGTAGAACCTCTTGTTAAATTGCTGAGATGAATTGGCTGCTTAGGTAAATTAGTAGTGCTATTCTCTCCCGTTTAACCTACTTCGCTGCTTGTGTATCCTTTAAATTGGTGGTGAAAGATTTGGCTATAGGGCGATGTCAGATTTTCAATTTGTTCCACTCAAGTGCATTTCACCAACTTCTTTCAACATAACTTCTGTTAAAATTCTGTGTCTGAAAGCATCCTTTCACTCAGTTTTGACAAAGTTGTTTTTCTCTTGCATAATAGGATCCAAGGGTAGATTCAGTTACGTGAATGCCCCTTTGGTAGAAGAAACATTTTTAGCTCAGATTAGAATTTTGATCTTTAACGTTAAAGTGTTAACATGCAAGTTTTAATTCCCCTTCTGCTTCCCCCAAAGGGATGAAAGTATGAGAATGTCATGTGAGTGTAAAGCATAAGCATGCCTTTGAACGTAGAAGCAAGTTACGCATGTGTGTGTTGCCCTCTCCCTCTGGGAGGTGGGGTATTTTTTCATGCTGTGTCACGGTTCAGTTTTTCATTTACAGGGACTTTTATTCTGGATAGTAAACAAACTGTCAGCTTAATGAAGGTAGCCCTTTGAGAGAGCGGACTTGAATGACTGATTCTTTATCTACTGTGCAAGTAGTAGTCATTAGGATGTAGTGAGGTATGCATTAAATAACCATTGCTTTGTAATAGACCTTGCTGATGTGTTTATTACCAGAACGTGTCTCAGGAGTTGAGACGAACAATGTTTAAGGTAAAAAAAGTACCTTCACGGGCAGACTCTGGCTCAAAGAACTTCACTGATGCTGCTGCACCACCTACTAGTAGTATTCTGGTCAGGCGGATATGGTTGTGTGAAAGTCCAAATGCACAAAATAGCTATAAGGGGATACTTTATGAACTTAAAGGAATTTTCTTTATTTCATTTCAATATGTGCAGTTTGAAAAGGCTTCAGTCATAGACCACAGAAATACTCGGAATCAAACACATATTGGCAGTAGCTTTATTTTTCAAATATTTTGTTAAACGCCTCTTTAAAACTGAAAGTTAATCTGTTTTTCTTTTTCTAAACTGGGACTGGCAGTATGCTAAATTGCTCATAGTATGATGGTTTAGGTAAATTACCAGGTGAGAGATGTTAAACAATTTGGTTGGTAGTGGTATAAAACAATGTATCGTTTAATGATTTTTTTATCTTTGTTAATATCTTTCAAGCTTTAATAAATGGGCTACTGTACATATGTGTTATACCATCAATTTCTAACAACTATTTTATTTTTTTGTAGAATAAAGGTTTGTTGTACAGTCTTCAGCTGCATCATGTTTACAGCTAGAACTGTTCAATTTCTTATTTATTAATGTAGCATGCAGACAAATATTACCAAAATAGCCATATTCAGAAACTCAGAAGGGACTTAGCATTACCAAAACAATATGGTTTCTTTATGTTGCCAGTAGGAATTTTTAAATCTTTCAGAGTTTGAGTGAAGACTTTCCTTTCTCACTGTAGATTAAGCCATCATAAGCCAACACATGCACTTGAAAGGAGCTGCACTGACATCCAGACCAGTTCTTTGATGTGGTTCACAGTAGTGGCATGTAATTTTTGCTGATGCAAAGGAATGAGTGAGAACGGGACAGGAAGAAGATGGGGGCCAGGCATTTGGGCAGTTCTGGCTTATGCCTGTTTAAAGCTTGTTCTAGGGATGAAAGGTATCGATTCTAGCAACTGAAGAAGCTGATCTACTGTTTACATAAGTAACATACATTTTGAAAAATATTTCAGGTAGTTTTGCAGGCAACACAATATATTTAGGCATGCACATTTACTTGAAGACCTTATGCATTAGTAAGTTGTTAGATGTATTTATTACCTTTTTAAACAGCCTGTGATTCTGATCTTTCACGGTACTGTATTTGAGCAGAATGCTACATCCATAAAGATTACAAAGATGAAGCATAACCTTCATTTGCTATGAGGACATGATTTCTTTGCTGAAGGCTTTTTTATGTGAAATATTCGTACACTTTCATTTTTATATGTAGTGCTTCACGCTGTTATTACAAACTCAAGGAATAGATTCTGTTAGATGCCTTTGCTTCAGTAGAGCACTATACCATTCTTCAAGCCATTTCAGTGATTTAAATGGCTTTACTTATGAAGTTAAGGTATTCTTACCCTGAATAAGGCAAGACAGGAATACTGTAATCAAGCCTGTAGTGTAGCATGCATAGGCATTACTTAGGCACAGTTGGAAAATTATCAAATAAACTGTCTGTAGAAGGTGTTTATGAAATAAGCCAATCTATTGCAGAATTCTCTCAAAATACTGTGTCAGCAGTTTTGAACATGCACAAGGATACGTTATGCCAGTCAACATTTAAAGGACTCATTTTCTTGATTCATGTTCCCCTAACTCAAATCTTTGGATCATTTTATTTGAAACTGGTAAAAATGGATACCAAATTTCATTCTTTGTACTTTCAGTAATGTATTTAAAAATAACGTAATAATAAGGGTGATTTTTTTTTTTTGGTCTCTTGATAATGGGAGCTGAATTTAAAACCTATTCAGAGTATCAGGAGTCATTGAGACTAACTAGCAAAATTATTTGTTATTGTTAATTGAGGTAATGAAAGGGTCTTTCTTTCCCTGTTGACAGCTATTGCGGAGCCACATTTTCCTTTCACGTGCTGAGCTTTCACCAATAAGCATGTACTGTGAAGCCATCTACTTGTGTAGATGAGAGATTGACTTAAAAGGTATAAAGGCGGGATGTTCTTTTTTAATTTGAAGCTGTTTATTTAAAAAAAGTGGCAAAAGCATCTATCCGCTATGTTGCTTTACTGTATTCTTTCACATCAGCGGGAACTTTGCAGTAGCAAAGAGAATATCATATTGCAAGACTTTCTTAATTGTAACTAGTCTTACGTTTCTCCTTGAAGGGTCGACTTAGTGATGCTATTCACTCCACTTAGTCTGTACAAGTTCTTTGGGTACTCAAACGTTTAGAATTTTATTAATGTATGTACATGATATTTCATAGTCAAGAAAAGTCAAATAGAGCTACTAAAAAGAAAATTCATGACATCTCTTTAAGAGTAGTAACTTCCAGCAAAGGTGTATAGGATCTGAAAAGTTGTTATTGTCAGTGAGGGGATGGCTTGAAAGTCTGTTAATAGGGGTTTTGTTGAAGTTGGCAAACTGTAAAGCTGTACTTGCCATAATTCTTGTATTCCCTGTATTCCTTTCAATCTTGCACAAACTGAATGAAAAGGGTAGTCTCACTGACTATCCGACTCTTAGTATCTTTTAGCTGCTCTGCTACCAAAGATTAGAGGAGGGGAAGGACTGGTTGTCTGTGCACTCTTAAAAATCAAGAGGTTGTTAAGATACATTGTGCAGCTAAAGCTGAATGTATTTTCTCTTTTTAAGAAGTTTAAAATGTACATTTCAGCACTTGCATAGTAACAGTGATATTAGTGGTGTCACTGGTTTACTAATTCTGTACTTTGTCATTTTTAAGTTAACTCGCTAATGCTAGTTTTAAATTTTCTCTTCCTGTCAGCGGAAATCATACTAATGGCCTCAGGCAAGGGATTGTTTTGTGCTTTACAAAAACAGAAATCTGGTCGGAGAGTTTTTTAACCTGTAGGTAGGTTAGCTGAACATTTTTTCTTTCCTGATTTAATGCTTTAATGCTGCAATTTTCCTTGTGAATGATTTTCTGTATGCATATCTGTGTTATAATGGATATGTGTTCACATCAGCATGTATCAAGCTTTCTGTTGACATGCAGAAAGATTGTGAGATTCTTCAAGGTAGCTGACGATGTGTTTCTAAAACTAGGGTAACCTTCACAGCCATATTGATTTGTATACTGGAGCATTATAATTGTGTTGGAGCGTTATAACTGTGTGCGAGCCAGTGCAAAAAATCCTTAATAGGTGAAGAGTATTAAATGGATATAGAATTGTTAACTCAGATGTAGATTGGTAGGATTCACATAGGCCATAGATGCTGGGACTTTGCATATGAATGTCACTTCCACACTAAAGGAGAGATCATACTATAATTATGTCTGGAAAAATAAGAAATGTAGCTTTTTCTTGATAACAGTGGGAATTAAGTAGAAATAATCATAGTGTTTAAAGTCCTTTCTAAAAATCCATCTGCCTTCATCTAGTCAAGCTCTATCATTGTCACTTTAGTTGATTAAGGGGAAGAAATTACTTTAGACTTACACTGTTTCTGAGGTAGTCGGATCTCATTTAGCAATGCAGTGAAATGCAGTTTTAAGTGTGCCTTAAGTTTTTTCCCTCTGAAAAGGAGCATATATTTCAAACTTTACACAAGAATGTGGACAAAACCAGTAAATTTTTGTTGTAGAATTTTAAATGTAGTTTTGAGTTCAGTGATTTTCTTCAAGAACGTCATCATTTCAGTAGTGTAAATACGTAAATAATAAATGGACACTCATTTTTAAAATGTTTACTGAAAGTTATGCTACTCTGTCCAGTTAATTTTTCATTTATTTTCACATGCTTTCAATACATTATTTTGTGAAGTGGTGCCATCACAGAATTCCTCTTACCACAAATTAGAAATACCTTTGAATTATGTAATTCAGTTGCATAGTTGAGTTATTTAAATGTAGGACAATCATAAACCTTCCTCTTGAAAATCATGGATTTCTTGTACAGTATGGCTACCAATGGAGGTTATTCACTATTGAGAGCCTTATTGTTCAAGCTATCTGTGATTAAAAGTAAAATACTGAAAACAAACTGAAATGCTTGTTGATTGATTTGGAATTTTGTTATTTATTAAAAGAAAAATAATGGCATCTTCTCAAATTTCATGTTGATTAAAAAACTCACCATATTAAAAATACAAACTTGATGAGCTGTAGTTCTATGAATTGATAAAATGAGTGAGGCACCCATTATTTTTATTAGAATGAAAAACCTTGAAGTGATTAGGATAAATGTTATTTATATAAAATATTGAAATGTAGTCTTCAAGCTTTGTGTGCATACTGCCTGCAGTTCCTGCGTGTACACTTTATACATGCTTTACACCTGCAATCCTCATTACATGATCAGAACCACTATGGAAAACAGGAAGGTGGCATGAAATTCCAGCAGACACTCAAAATGCTGTACGGATTGGATCTGTATGTAATCCAGCAGATAGACAGACAATGTTGTTTCAGAGGCAATAGCTTGTTAGCCTAATTTGAAATCAGGTAAAACCTCAGTTACAAAGCATGAATAAACCTTTCTTTTTTTTTAAATTTAATAGAAGTTAATGTACACATTCTGATTAAATATTCACTAATGAACAAGCAAGCATCCAAAGTTTTTAAGAAGTCCTGAGCATTTTTCTTAATGTTGCTTGTACCTTAACTAAAACCAACCAACCAAAAAAACCTAAAAAAAAAACCCACAAAAGCCAGGAAGGCATAAATATTTGTAAGATTACCATGTTCTTGGGGAAATAACTTGATACAAGTGTTAATATGCCTATTTGGGTATTTTTAAGTAGTAGATACTGCAGAACCCAGGTAAAACCATGATAAAGAACTATCTGACTTGCAAGGAACGTGCTGAACTGAGGCATTGGTGTAAAATCCAAGATTGTTTTGTTCCTTGTTTGTGTTGTCTCCCAGTCCAAATACTGACCTTGTTCCGGGTTCCACTCTGAACTGATTAGAGGATATTCTGGTTAATGCATATGTATTTTGTCTAATATGTAATACATCATGTGTATTACATCACTGTAATACAGACACAGAGACAGCTAGTGAGAAGTTGGGAGTGATGTGGTTTGGGGCAAAACCATCAGAGAAATCAGAAGAGGAGATTCCTGAACTGTGTGAACCACCCATCTGAAACATTGCGGTGGAGGAAAGTCTCCTTAGTGCAGAGATAATTACTGATTACTTCTGAGTAGGTCAGTAGCTACAAGGGTGCATTTCACAGTAGTATCCCGGTTTGGGAAGTGCTAGCTACAGGCTCATTTGCTTTCTGCTATCTGTAGAACACAATAATTTTCCTGATGAAAATTACTATGTTACCTCTCATGTTATTTCTAGAGACTTTAAAGTAATGCTGCTTCAGTCTTAGTGCTAAACCAGTATGTGATATACGGCCTCACTTCTTTACCAGTGGGACATTGCTGTTGGCTTCACTGGATCCAGAATTTCAAAGGTTTTGTCTTGTGTGTCTCAGTTTCTTCTTCAGCGGCCTTTAGAAAAGCAGGCGGTAGAAGATTATCTCGTTCTGGTTTCACTGATTTTTTTTCTACTGCTTTTAAGCCCAAAGCCTTCTAGGGGATTTGTTGGTTTGGTTTTTTGTTTTTGTTTTTTTTAATCCTGTTTCCCCTGTATAAATATTTATGAGCAGGCAGCCCTAATAACGATTGTTCCAAGATTCTGAGCGGATGGTGGAATAGACTGTACAAAATGTCTAAAAAAAATTGCAAGCACTGTACCTGCCTAATCCTGTGCTAGGAAATTCATCGACTGAAAGCAATCAAGCAAATTAAAGCTAGTTAAATGCATTGGTCTTATCTTCTGGCTCTCCCCAAACGATCCTGCTTTCTAAGTAGATCTTTTCACTGCCACATGCAGAGCAGCACTATAATGTGCGGTCACTGTTCTTTGTTTAGAATCCGTTATGTCCTCTAGCTTTCTTTTCCCCCTCTGCTTACTGCTTTTTTGAAAGGTTGTGTTTTATTTAAATAGCATTTTTTTCCTCTAAATGATTTAAAGAAAAATGAATGCACTAGGTTAATAAAGTATTCTTACTTCATTTTAGAATGTGCTGCCTAACTCTCCTCAGTAAATTTCCTTCTCCAACGAAAAGTTCTTACATTTCTGTATTAACTAGAATAGAAATAAGAATGGATGACATGTAAAAAAAGAAATAAAATTTTTATCCAAAATTACATATCTTTGTCATGATAGTCTGGTTCCAGCATGTTCAAGAACATAACTAAAGTGGCGTTTTTCACACCACCCAACTTGAAAAGTTACACACAAGTTAGAGCGACCTCAGGAGCTCTCCCATGCAACATTCGCTCACCGTTGTGAATGCCGTGGTCTTGCATTTCCCTTCTGTGTTCCTTACCTCGTCACCAGATATTTTATTCTGTCTTATTCACAGTGAAGAAATTTAACCCAGAAAGAGTCTGAAAATAATGAAGAATTTCACTTCTCCCAACTTTGAGAATTAACTTGTTCTAAATGTCTGTTATGTTGATACAGAAAAGCAAGCAAACATAAATCCAAAAGGAACAAAGATGTGAAAGCAATTTTCTAAACATTTCTAGCATTTTATGGGTAAGAAAGTAAGGCCCAAGAAAAGTCTGCTAGAGAACTGGAAAGGTTTTAATTCATGGTTTGTTTTACCCATCCGATTGGCTTTTTTTGAAAGCCATCTATTTGAAAATTGTATTTTCTTAGAGGTCCTTCCCAGGAAATCTCACTACTGTTCTTTTGTCTCATTAATTCTTTTTCAAAACCTGGACCTATTAAGCATCTTACAATACGGCTTTGAAATGATACGTCTTGCCTTACAATTACTGTCTAGCATTGACTTGAGCTACGTACCGCAAGACACACAGTACATCAGAATTCATTATTGTTGGACTGTTGGTGTATGTGTATATATCCATTTTATAGTAGCTTCTGGAAAGCTTAGCCATAGGATTTACAGCCTACACCATATGAAAGGAAACACAAGTTACAGTATGAACTCTTCCTCTGGCTGTACGTCTTACACTGGTGGTGTTCCTGCAGCAGATGCATCTTGCTGTGTCAAAGGAGTCAAAGTTAGACATGGGTGTGTTTATGTATAGATTTCAACACACATCATCTTTGAAAATGAAGTGAATATTTAAAAACCTGAATATTAAGTTACGGTTTTAAATTTAGCTTGCTAGGAAACATTTGGTTTGTTACACCAGGTTTTTACACCATGTGGTAGTTAGGATCTTTTTTTTTTTTTTTTTTAAGTAAAACAAAATATTGCTGCATAAGTAGGAAAGGTTCAGTCTTGTTGGTGATGGATTTTGTTATGTGAGTATAAAGTTCCCAGCCTTACACTATAGAAAATGGTGCTCTGGTGGACTGTGGCAGACACAGCCTTAATTACTCTGGCACTTGGCTGGCAAAACCACCTACCGCAACTTTTCATCTTGGGCAAAGAGGTAGCGCAGGGAGCTCAGGTGGCTCCAGGGGAACTGCTGTGCCTCCCAGGCAGGCAGGCAGGCAGGCGCCGCGAGGGTGGGCTAGTCCTGAGCCACAGAGACACGAGGCTCCCACTCGCCTGGGGATCAAAGTTTTCTTTTCTGCTTGAGCCACAATAGCAGTATTACTACAGCAGGCAGGACAACAGTCTTTTTATACCGAATTTTGTCACATGGTTAATATTTATATACAGGAGAAGTATTTGAAGTTAGAACTAATATGATTTTCGAGTTAATAATTGCTGGCAAGTCAGATTTGTGAACCAGGTGCTCTGCTTGAAAGGAACTCTGCTACAAGCAAGAAATGAGAGATGATTAAACCATTGTAGGTGCTTGTTTGGGTTCTGAAACAGAATTGTGTCTGAACATATTATAGGTGTGTGATTCCTACTGCTAGGTCTCACTCTCTGGGAAAAGGCCAAGAATTAAATTCTGAAACTTTTCAGGGTTCTGATCTTCTGAAATAGCTAGTAGTAGGTGGATACCTCAAACATACATTCACTTGCATTTTCTTTTCCATTCCTCGTGTGGTCTTTACCATGCTTGGTAACAGCTGGCGCAGAAGCACTTCATCCCATCGTCATCACCATTCCTAACCAAGATGTTCTTAGGTCTCCTCCAGTAGCCTTTTGAATCCTTCTGATGCCGTTGTTCTCCATTTCTAAAGAGTTTGAAATTGGAAATTTGGTGTGTTTTCTTCTGGCACAAAATCTCTACTGTGTGACAAGATACTTCTCTTATTTGTATTTTCACTATTGCTTCTTTTCTTTGGCAAAAGCTCTTTGCAGTGAGCATTTCAAAGCTGATTTTTATAGCATGGTTTCCAGTGTCTTCAGTCTGAAAGTGAAGTTTTGATGTGTTTTGAAGGAACAGTTTCCATATAGTCTTGCTACTCCTTTATGCTTTCTCCACCTACACATAAAGCAGCAGTGTCCAGCCAGCCACTGCAGCCTACTTTCTCACCTTAAGAGGGAAGGTCCGATGTGTCCGCAAAAGATATTTGCAGCTCCTTGGGGTACATGCAGCGAGAGGAGCATTCAAAAAGAATGACCCTGCCTTGCTAGGACACCTTACCCAGTTCTTGAACCCATCTTTGCTGCAAGCCCCTGGATTTAGGAAGATGAGAATGGCAGCTGGATGACTTGCTCAGGGACCTTATATGAATGACAAGGCCAGCAGCTGGCTATCGTGACTTTCGTGAAGTGTGGCCAGTTCTGATGTACCTGTTCCAAACACTTGAGATACCAAGCAAAGCTCTAAACCCCTACCATTGCCCATGAAGTAGGCAGGCGCTGGGTGTTGCTAGGTCTTGTCCGTGACATGAGGCAAACACTCCATTCCCCACGCACCTTTTTCTGTCTCCTCTTTATAAGCAAAACACTGTTGCTCTTTCACTATTTAATTCTCTCCAGCTAGTTGAATACAACAGTGGTGAGAGGAGTTGCATGTCCCCTGCTCACAGAAGTCACTGATATGGTGAGGATCCTCTACTTGACACCAGTGCCATTAAATTTGTTGTTTTCAGGTGGTGGTTAAATCTTCCTTGGACCACAGTATTTCTATATATAAACACGTATGTTCTGGACGTACAGGCTGCAGTACAAGAAATTTGAGTTAGTTTCTTTTCATTATTTTAACTTTTATCCTATATTCTTTGTATCCAATATCCCTGTACATTGGTTCTGTGTACAGTGTGCTCATTGAAAATATTTATTAGTAGTTCATTAACTCTCTTCTCTCAAAAATTATGTTTTCTGCATTTATTTCCATCTGAGTGTATCACAACATAATGGAGTGAGAGGAGGATGCAAAAATGAGCAGCCAAGCGACAGCAGAATAGCACAGGAACTGGGAAAATCTGTCCTAGCAGGACTGAGGAGTGAGTCGTGTGCAGGAATAGGAGAGATCTTTGAAGCTCAATCGCCTTACCCGTGCTTAACGATGTAGTATTTTATTCTGTGCTCTAAAATGATGAACACCTTCATAATCAAATCCATAGGCGGTAGCAAGCTGTCACGTGACAGACTATCACAGGATTTTTCTTTCAAGAGATCCTGGGTTTGTGAGAATTAAAATTGAACTGTATAGAATGTCCTCTCACAAAGATGCAAAATGTTTCGTATTTTAAAACATTTTCTGAGCGCTTGCTGATTTTGTTAATGATGCAACAAACTCAAGTTTTGATATTCCTTCCTTTAGTGTTCTAGTACTGATTAAACGTGTTTTTAGAAGTGTCAGCAGTGACCAAAGGGAGATTATTGTGGTTTTGAAGAACTGTGAAGTGAAATTTTTTGTGAGGGGTATTAAGTGAAGTTACTGGGGTTTATGTGTGTTTTCACTTTGTTATGAAGTAGATTTGCTGCCTAACTCACTGGCTGCTGTTGAGGGTTAACACTGTTAATACTTCGGCATTTTTTTTTACTTTAGGTTTTGGTAATTTCAAACGTGCAAGAGTTTGGGTTGTGTTATCTTTACAGTCCGTGGAGGTTCATGTGTAACCCTGTGAACAGTCAGTAGGAGTCTTGTAAACTAAGGAGAAATGATTATTGCAAGCCGTGATGTTTGGAAAAGCTATGTTAAAGGGAAAAAAGTGATTCTGAAAACAAGAAATGCTGAATCCTGTGTTTATGAGAGCAGGGTGTCTGCCTTAGTTTGATAGAAGCCGTAATGAAAAATGGCTGAAATAGCTGGTAAGAAAATACCTGGCTTACTTTTTTAAAAAAATAAATATAATCACTGACTTCAGTTTCTTTGCTAAGATCTGTAAGATTAGTCTATTTGACTTGTTCTTTTGAAAAAGAACAGAATACTGAAATCTAACTAAATGCTTATTTTTTAAAAGTCTTTTTGAAAAATGCAAATAGACTTAAGCAACTATTAAGAAGCTTTGCACCCTGTAATGAGTATCTTTGAGCAAGGGATGCTACCCCATAGTTAATATTCTTTCTGTAATTTCAAGTTTTTCTTTTAATTTTTGAAAGTAATTTTGGTATCTCTTTTTACTATTGCTTGCAGCTAACATGGCTTTTCTTCCCCGGATTTTGCTTCTAGCTTATTCAGTTTATTTCCTGAGCCATGGCTGCTTGCTGCTGTGAAACCAGCAGAGGGTGCTCAGAACACACGCCGTCGTAGCTGTTTCTTCACAGCCCCCTGGGTTGCTGATACATGGAAACCAGGTAGCTGCCCTCTTAAGCCCTGTTCAGCTGAGGTACCATATGACTTGAATACGATTCTGAAAATAATTCACCGTTGCGCTTCAGTGCGCTGTTTTCCATCCGATTCGTGCGTGTACATGCTAACTGGGGGTGATTTTTCCCCTCTGTCGTATGCCAGGCTCAAGGTAATGTCCAAGTTAGACATACCTGGCCTTTAAACACCTGCTGTAATTAACAGAGATTACACAGTCATCATTTTCACAGATCAAAGCCTACTTTAAAAACTGTTGGGGAATCTTAGTTTTATGAGATATTTTATGAGAAAGATCTATGAAAGTGGATGGTTAGATATTTCTCTGCTTTTTTGACTGGCCATAACAAAAACACTCCTGACACTAACCTGCGTTAGTGTGGAGGCTCTGCTGGTGGCTGCCACCCTCCCTCCCCGCTCCCACCAGCTAGCGTTGCCTGCTGACTCCCAGTTCCTATCTTATCTGGCCCAGTACAAAATTG